ATTATCTGAGTCAGAAGGCGGATTTGTCTCACATAAAGCACGTAACATCCGACAATGCTGCTAAACGGAATTTCCAAATGAATTTGTTCTTATATAATGATATGCTGATCCACTGCTATCTTTTCTAATCTCTCCGTAAGTAAAATCTTCAAAGAGTTTGTTTTGTGTGCAATGTCCAGAACTAAATCATTAGTAAAGATTTTTACGATTTTAATCATTTCTGTAACTCAAACCGCGTCTTCTACACTGGACTCTTGCTCCATGCCGACTTGTGTCCCCCGCAACGGTTGTAAAATTTTAGTTATATTGCTACTTCTAAAAGGTTCCGCCTTTTTCTGGCATTGGTATCCATACTACTGTTTACCGGTGAACTAAAATACAGCCTAATGTGTTTGTGCCAAAACTTTTAGTCTCTACAACGCGCTTTTCTTATTTTGCATAGTATTGCATTGCTATATAACATTCCAACTTGTATTGTTACCAAAGCCCATCTGGTAACGTTTTTAGCCGAAAATTTAATTTACCGTTCTCTTTTCGACTTAATATTTGTACTCTGCATGATGCTGATGTGCTTTCAAATTTCAAAAGATACCTTTCCATGTAATCGTTTCCTTTTTGTTTCTTGCTGTGGTATCATAAATTACACTTCAGCACCGGATAAACCCTCCCAAGGGGACACGGATGCCGCACGTCACCCACCGTCTGAAACAGAAGGTACAGCTTCCACGCAGGATTCGGCCGCTGGACGACGCATCGCCTTCAACGCTGGATCTTATCATATTTTTGCTTTTGATTTACGCCAGCCAGTTGAGATATTGATCGAACGTCTGTGTAATGATACATCCGATGGACCTGGCCTAGACCCCACACTGCCTACACTATTTCTAGCAGAATGCGTCCTAGTTTACATGCCATCCGATCAGACTGCTCAATTGTTACGTGGTTTGGCTCGTGGTTTTCCCCATGCCGCTTTTCTGCACTATGAACAGGCAGGTATCTATCCCCTATTCCATCTGTTAAGTAACCACACTTCTCATGTTTCTTCCCGTTCTGAGTCTGTGGTCAGTGGATTGATCTTCGGATCTTTATATAACCCACAACTTGTTATTCGTTTAAAATGCTTTTGTTTAGAGTAAGGGAACACGTGAAGGTTATTAAGAACCCTTAAATGTGATGCACACAAAATGGGGTACGGATACGTCCATCAACACATTGACCTAACAGTGGAACTATGTTCGTCCATTTGTATGAGAACTTGAGAACATCTTGAGAGACATTTTCCTTCACATTACCCGTTTGTGTCTAATCGGCTTTTGCCTACGTGAGGGTAAACTGGTTTCGTGGAAGAATCTACGAAGAAATTTGTGACCACAGCACCTGATGATCCCTCCGCCTTACCATGCGACCTTTTTCTTCTAGAGTGTGAGTCTAACCCTCAGACGGGCAGTTCCTCCCCATAGGATAATGGCGCAATAACCAATTCTTTATATTCCAGAGTATACCCATTATGACATGAGGACACACGTTCAGAGGTGAACAGTTGTCATTGATTCATCTTCTAGCCTGTACATATCATATAAGGAAATGACATCTTTCACGAGAGTAGACATTCAGTGACCTGGTGGGAGGGAGAGGGATGTGAGGTGAGTGCTGCGACGTGTTTCACATCACTAGGTCACCACAACACTGCAATCAGATTGAGATACGTCATCTGTGCTATCGAACTTCAACCAAGGTAGTTGAATGACATGGGTCAATCTATTTTGTGTACATCAATTGGGTGTAAACAAACGAATGGCGACAGCTTCCACATTGGCTATGGTGTGGAGATGCAACCACTTGGGTGGGTAAGGTGGTGCTCGATAGATAACGTTGAAGGCTGATTCAGGCTTCACTTGGCTCGAGTCTGCTAGCTGAGCGAGAATAGCGCTTCCTGTGATACCTTTCCACCGTGTAATGGCCAATGTGGACAGTGCTTTTTAATCCGCTGTACAGTTGTATCGCCATTCGGCCAATGTTGATTGGGTTACAAAATCAGCTGAAGGAACAGATAACCCTAGATGAGGCCAGCGTGGGTAAACTATCTTTATTGAATTTTCTTATTATTGGTGAGCCTGTGAATACGCATGACAAACTGGTTGCATTAAAGGTTCATCTCACAGCATGCTCCAAATGTCTTCTTATCAGTTCAGATAGGTCGGCTCCTTTGAATGATAGTTCAATAATCAGCTCTCGAACGAGCTTGTGTTTCAGTCTTTCTTCTATGTTTCTTTCGACGAACCCTTCAGGGTACCTGTTTCCCCTGAGAATGTTTTTAATTTGATCAGGTTTATCTGCGAACGTGGGCTCAGTGTGTATATTGTGCACGCCAGATGAGACAGTGANTCATTCAAAGGACTCGACCTATCTGATCTGATCAGAAGACATTTGGCGCGTGCTGTGAGAGGGCCTTTGATGCAGGATGTTTCCGCCAGACATTTCTTTTGCGAGAAGTCGTCTGGAATAAGAAAATTGGCCACCTTGTAGAATTTGCTGTTCATGGTTCGCCACCGCCTATTCTATGAATTAGTATCCACCCATTCAAGGTTTACCATCCAGATGGCCTTTCTATTGCCCTCGGCCTGGAGGCGCTTGCGGTAGAGTGGCGCTCCACCGGCACTGTACTTTTAATAGGCTACCCACCCAACCGGAGAGAATACTGTCGCTCGAAAGCAGATCACATGTTTCATACACTGAATCCAAAGACGGTAGTACGGGCTAAGAATACAATAGAGCTTATGACGATCGGAGTTCTTGAGTTTGCTAATTTGTTCGTCGGCTGCCAAAAATTTGATTACCTGTAGATCACATTTGATTAGAGACCAACATGTCTAAAGAAAGCAATCGGGATATTATAGCACACATCCCAGAACCTGATACTACATTCGTTACCACCACAGTTCGGATCATCGGCACGTAACAAATTATATTGCACTGATAACTGACGTTGCTAGTCAGTGGTTTATGTAAAATTTAAGGTCACTTGAGGCAAAAGCGCTGAGTCAATACAAAAATACGAGAGACGGGATGAAAGTCAGTTATCTTACCTTACATCGCTACAACATTTTTGGCGGTGTACATGATTGACTCTTAGAATGTGATTTTGGGTGTTCATTTTTGTGTAGGTTCTGAATCGTAAATTTTTCGATTGACAATATCGCTGCATGTTGGCAGTTGTGGCAGAACAGAGCAAATCACGTCCGGTCAGTAGATAACATGAAAGATAGTATAGAGATTAGGTAAGGTAGGCGCTTCTCCTCTTCCAGATCGGGGCAATTCTTTGAGCTTATAACTGGATAATTAAAAACATTGAAGAACAAGACAGTAGCAGTGGCGATCTTGTTGTCATCTCTCTTCAGGCCAGAAAGCTTGGAGAGTTACAGGTGCACGGTTAGGCTGTGTTCGCCATGTAGATTCCTTTGTTATTTCCCTCGCCCGAAACAGACCCGGTCCTTATCCTTGTACATTCGCACTGGCTTCCTGTGTATTGTGAACTCGACAGGTCAGAGAAGTTTGCTTCACTGTATTTGGGTACACGATGTTACGATCAAAATGATATTGGCCCTCTGTTCACGATTGCTTTTTGTTATTACGGTTTTGTACTGTTTTCCGGAGTAAGTTCGTTGATGACATTATAATTTTGCAAGTGTTAACTTTTCGAAATTGGTATAACTTGAACAACACCGGATTACTATCCGACTACTCTAAATGTCAATATTAGGCATCGTGTTTCTCAATTGAATTATGGTATTTGAAAACGCTTAGTGCGGTGGCAGTCGTAGATACCATTTAGTGAGTTGGATCGAATAAACATGAAAACGTTGTGCTGTGTAAAATGATATTTTTTTCCTATCGTAGTCCTTCGAGTTTGTGATTCTTTTGTTTGCTAATAGACTTACCATGAACAACATGTATTATTTTAGGTAAATATGCTAGACAAATTCGGAACGATCATGGTTCAAAATTTCCGCTCTCGGGGATGTAATCTACCAGGACTTTCTGCATGTCAATCGCTTGCGGATCAAGAGAAGCGGTAAGTTTTAGCCAGCACCATCATGTCCCAGATACTGGTCTCTGCTTTTCGTTTAGCATAACTCCTTCAGTATGGTCGAAAGGTAACTAGGGCACAGGTTGGTGCTCGTGCAATCTGAACTAAAATACCGTGAATGTCATCAATCTATTCAGGTTGCCTGATGCTAGATAGTAATTACAGCTGATCGACATGGACAGGTAGTTACTGCCCTACGATTTAGGTGCCACTTTTTTAGGGGAACCTAATACTCGAGGATATCCACAGGCTTCTCCGGAATTTAATCGTTCATTTTGAGTCCTGCTAATAGCAGAGAAAGAGCTTTCGATTTTGCACAACGTCGTTTTACTCAAAGGACCAACATTACTTCTATTTGTTCATTTCTCTCCAGGATTTGAGCGCTGATCGTTTTTAAAATTTATACAAAATCACGTGGTTACACATCTCGGTTCATCCTTACTTCTTATCGCTTACGTTTTCCTGCGCGCCGCACTTGTCAAACTTACAAACCAACGGAATGACTGTTGGACGCGATAATTGATTTAACTCTAATCTTATCTGCGTGACCCTCATTGTTCTTGACGGAAATATACCGAGTAGCCTATCTTTACATCGCTTAACCATACTGCACGACGTTTGGTGTCTGTCAGGCCACATGTGACTGCTCAATTATTTTCGACCGACTGGGAACTCTGGGTTTATTTGATCTCAGCTATTATCAAATACTCTGCGACAATATAATTACGTAACTCCCGTCCTCCACCGCATTGATGCAGTGGTTCGCGTGACTTGTACGCTATATCCGTTTGATTTCATTATGCATCAGTGCTTCGACTGTTTATGTGATTATCGAATGACAGAAGTCTGTTAAGTGACCATATGTGTGTGTGTGTGCAATAAGTGCAACAGTTTGTCAACATCCAGGAGGATTGTACGCAATTGATTGGGGAAATTATGTACTTCGTGAAATGCTTGTAATACAAAGGATACTAGTTGTTATGGTAGAAAAATTTCGTCACCAAAATAGGGAATTAACAAGTCCAGCAAGCGAGACCCGCACAATAGAGTGAGTACTCGGCTGTCGATAAATGTGAATTCGCAATGAGAAAACCGAGGGCCTGCGTAAATAAGTTTTTTTATTACACAGCAGACGAGGTAGACCCCATGAATATATTGTGTTGTTTATAAATATTGTATGCACTGAAGCCTACATTTCGGTAACAAAACTTTACACGCTAACCGTCACAGAGAACATATTTAACGGGAAAACATGTTTACAGACGTGGGAACATTTCATAGTCCAAGTGTAAGTTCACTTGTTACCCTCGCTTTGTTTGTGAGTAAACGTACAAGAGTATAAGTGAACTTCGGTAAGTGTTTCTACAAGATAAAAAATTTGGCGGAATTAAGAGAGTGCGGAGCGATGGGAACGACAATCTGTTAGTTCTGCGTGCAATGGGTGGTCAAGGTCTGTGAGAATCCTCTCCGAAAATTTCGCACAGGAAGTTATATGATACTCTCACAAGAATAGAAAAAAACTCCTAATAGTCAGACCGGGACGTAAGACTTTGCAATCCAGGGAAAATAAATGGGGACAAATAAGTTCAGTTCAGTTCAGTTTGTGCAACCATTAACCATGCACTATCGTGTGCCGGTTTTGGTTGCTATCTTTCAACTGCCCATTTGGATGTACAATAGGAGGAAAACAGGAAGATCGAAAGGAGAATCTAAGAGAAAATTGAAAAATTCAGTGGACTAATCATACAGAGAAATTGAGAGGATGCACGAACGTCACCATTTACGACACCCAGCCATATCACTCTGTCTCTAACCATCGGGTACGACCATTCCGAGGTTCCCAGCCAGGGAGCCTAGCGGGACCTATGTGACCCAGACTACTGGTTAAGGTTTTCACACCCTTATGCTAGGTCTTAGCTTGACCACTCTGGGCTTTATTCCACCCACTGATACACAAAGGTAGAAATAACTGACGGGGATGCGCGAAACTGTCTGAGCTTCCGACTTTGAAATGATAGGCGCCGCAGTTTACTAATGCAGTTGTGGATGTGGTTTGACCAAGGAAGATAGTTATCTCTAGTTAGCGCTTTCGTCTGCAGTGATGGTGACTCGTTGTTTTCCTTTAATGCAGATTTATTGAAACTGGCTGGAAACGAGCGACCGCTTGGACAGTGAATCAAGTTTACCAATCGTTCTCTCAGGCCACACGGCATCGGTAAGCTCGTTTGCTCTGTTTGCGAAACTGAATGTCATAAACGTTCGCGAAGTCCTGCTCTATTCTTTGTCGTCCATTTTGTCCAATTGTTCAAATGACAGCAAATGATTTTCTTAGAGATTTACCACCGGAGCCTTTGGCCTGTCAGCTGATTGGGGTCCATCCCTTGTGACGCTGTTAATACGAGTCCTGAAACTGGTTTCTTTTCGAGAGATTTAACATCGGAGTTTTCCGACTTCTCGTGAATCATCAACCCGGCAATAAACTCGCATATCGATTCTTTGCTCACTTCCTTCAGTTAAAACAATGGTGTCACGAGAAGTCCTTGATTAGAGCTCCCCTAGCATATGCTTAAAGGACACTATATAAGAGACGAGAGCAAATTTTCAGAAGAACCGGGTCTGCTTTAGATTTGTACGATTAGTCATTCGTTACTTTCGTTTTCTTACATCCGTCCTAGAATTGAACACGTCGAAATGCTGGACGATTTGGAGATATCTCAGCAACTTTTCGACCACTACTGCATTCTGTACGCTGTGAATGATGAAAATCAATATTCGTGGTCTGACCTATACGAACCGCTGGCACAAATCTGTTGATCCAAAAACCGAATCTCGGGCTGGCCTGTACCGAGTTAGTCATATAACTGAAGTTTGCATGATCTGATGTTCTCTCGTCCCCCACCATCCATGATCCCGTACGCGTTCACAGACTGCTTTCCAAAGGAAAAAGTTTCCGCTGGATTTGCTTCATTAAACCTATTTTTCCGTATCGATTTTCTTCTCAGTTGTTTTTTTTTGCACCAACTTAGCGTAGCATCGGATACATTTAACAAATTAACCGCGAGCCATGGAGTCTGTTCGACACTGCATATCATTTGTGTCACTAACCGAAATTATGTTCCCACTGTATGAACCGACCAACCGACAAATATCCTGTTTCAAATGTGGTCTCTTTTCAATTACAAAACTATACCTAAACGTACTATTTATTAAGGAGGGTACATTTGTACAGACTTTACCTCTTAATTAAATGCATATATCCCTTTGTTTTTTTGGATACAATCGTTGTATCGGTTTCATGTCTGATTGCAATACTTGATAGCTGTGTCTCAAGCAGAACCGATTGGCACAAACAACTCATAGACGTCATCAGTGTTCACTGGTTTCGTTATTCCATCACTCTAGTAGTTGGTTCAACGATTTTTGAAAAAAGACAAGGTGAAATCATAAGGACCAAGTTGAGGCAAATTGGGGGTAGTTCTTCTGATCGTCCCACACTACTTATGCAACGCTGCGTAAACATTGATGTCTGAACATCAATAGTTTATCTTCCATTCAAAACTACTATCTTGGAGTAATATAATGAATCCACACTTTACTGTTTTTATTTGTTATAGGATTAGCATTTAGCCCACTACAACTTTTGGACAAGACAATCCCGAAAAAATAACAAGTCAATCACATTCGTATGTACGGATTGATGCACTGGTCTGTGTGAATCTCAAACTCTCACGCTTGTTATGGCTTACATGATGTAATGTGCAGTACAATAGTGCCCGTCGTCGACAAATACCAATCAGTCAACGGAAATTCGTTGCATTCTTTATCGTTTTTCAGGCTCTTATAGCATGCTACGTCTCGTGTTTACCGTATCATTGATCCGTTCAGCGAACTAGTTTCCCCATCTCCAAAACAACAGTGTCTCGCTGATGATTCCAGGACGAAATGGGACCCAACTCACCTTGAGCAGCAATTCTTTTATCCTTTGATCTTCCGATAGGCTGATCCAACTTTAGTTGGATCCGGGATGCTAAACGAACAATCGTGAGCTGAGCCTTNAGAATTTGCCATGAAACGGCTAAAATGCTATTCAATTAACATCACCGAAGGACCTAATCAAATCTAATTCATACCTCGGACGTCTAGGACGAGTTAATCTTAACGAACATTAGAACAATCGCAATGTCCATATCACCTAGAACCACGCTGTTATTGCAGCCTTTACAGCTTTTCTTTTTTATTTGCTTAACATCGGGTTCTGTTGCCATTTGGTGTAGATGAGATCGCAACATAAAAACTAATGATTATCTCAGCTTTTGAAAAAGTATCGTAATAAAAACGGTCCGGACTATCTTCCACAAAAAATGACTAGTGGAAATTTGTTACTAACTGCTCTCTGAAAACTTACTTTGGTAAATCACTGATACGTATATTGCTATTGGCAAAATAAAAGATGTGCTTCACATGACGCATGTAACATATGCCTAAGGTATGCAAAATCTCCTAATGCTAAATAACTGTGATTTTCACCAGTATCCGTATCGCCATTCACATAACAAATCTGATGTTGATACATCTTCAAGAACGTCAATTTTCTTCCACTCCGTCCAAATGTAAACCTGTTTGCATTTGTGTTCGTCAGTACCCTAATGCATTCAATCGTAAAAGCAGGAAAAACTAATGCAAATTCCAGCTGCAGTAGGTATCATGCCTAGAACTGGTGCTCAAACATGAAGGTGTTCTTAAAGTTGTCAGTTGTAGACGTAAACGTCCAACCGACTGATACTGCTTTCAGCTACGGACCAACGCACCAACCACCCATTTAGTCTCTTTATTTCTCTTTCAACTATATGTTATCCGTCAAGCCTGATCACTTCAAGTCTCCTCTTGTCAGGAACACCGACGATGCTATGTTCAGTATTCGTACACAAGCGCCCCCGTATAGTCTTAGTTTGAAGTGATCACATTAAATCCCCAACTGGCTCATGTTTCATAATTTCACTGTAGGCATAATATATTTTCTGTTTATTGTATGGAAGTAATGGGGGATTTGGTTTGTTTAAATGGTGAATTCGTCGTGTACATGAGGCGTGAGTTGCTTTGAATTCTGACGAAACAATACTAATGAAACCATCCAGTATCCGCTCTCAGGCTGTACAAACAACCAGTATAATGTTCTCAGGCCCAGAATTTCACCGTGTCTCGCTGCTGAGTCCAGGACGAAATGGGACCCAACTCACCTTGAGCAGCAATTCTTTTATCCTTTGATCTTCCGATAGGCTGATCCAACTTTAGTTGGATCCGGGATGCTAAACGAACAATCGTGAGCTGAGCCTTTGGACAGTAAACAGTTGGGTATTATTACGTAGCCAACACCATCCAGCTTTGTGTCGTCCGGTTCAATGCTGCGCTTAACCTAGTGGGGCCTTACGCGGTTCGCTACTCCAAGTCCCGGTGTCTAGGTTACCGGTTTCCATTACTGAACAGCAGGGCCCCGTGGCCTCTTCTATTCATCACACTACAATGTGTTATAAAAAGCTAAGTGAATCGGTGGTTTCCTGATTCATGAACAAATACTTGAACGTATGCCGTTATTTTCCAATCCCTTTGATCTGAACGCTAGTGTCGTGAGGTACTACTCACATTTGTGAGTAACAGACAACATAGTTGGTGCTTTATTTCGCGATCAAAAATGAACAAGATCAGCGAGGGAAAATTGTTGGGTCTTCAAGAATAACTATCGATTGCTACATTAATTGCCCGTTGTGCGGTCAAGGACTGCGATGGTTTGTTTCTGATGAGATTTTCTGTGTTGTGTATGCCAAATTAGTGATGTCCCATCTGTAATCCTGAATAAACAAACTATCCTCCGCTGCGCATCGCCTTGTGGGATAAATTCGTTCTCCAATAGGCGTATGGTAGAAAAGATGGAGTTATCATTATTATTTGCGATTCGGTATAAATCTAAGCATATGCAGTGCATGGCATAAATGATAAAGACATTGAGGTAATCGCATTCCGCAGCTGATGACCCATGAGTAGTCATTTCTGATAGAATTAGCCCGTTGTTGCGCACATGTAGGTCATGTGCATGGATATCACTTAGCAACTGTCGGCACACTTCTCGCCTGTAGAATTTGCCATGAAACGGCTAAAATGCTATTCAATTAACATCACCGAAGGACCTAATCAAATCTAATTCATACCTCGGACGTCTAGGACGAGTTAATCTTAACGAACATTAGAACAATCGCAATGTCCATATCACCTAGAACCACGCTGTTATTGCAGCCTTTACAGCTTTTCTTTTTTATTTGCTTAACATCGGGTTCTGTTGCCATTTGGTGTAGATGAGATCGCAACATAAAAACTAATGATTATCTCAGCTTTTGAAAAAGTATCGTAATAAAAACGGTCCGGACTATCTTCCACAAAAAATGACTAGTGGAAATTTGTTACTAACTGCTCTCTGAAAACTTACTTTGGTAAATCACTGATACGTATATTGCTATTGGCAAAATAAAAGATGTGCTTCACATGACGCATGTAACATATGCCTAAGGTATGCAAAATCTCCTAATGCTAAATAACTGTGATTTTCACCAGTATCCGTATCGCCATTCACATAACAAATCTGATGTTGATACATCTTCAAGAACGTCAATTTTCTTCCACTCCGTCCAAATGTAAACCTGTTTGCATTTGTGTTCGTCAGTACCCTAATGCATTCAATCGTAAAAGCAGGAAAAACTAATGCAAATTCCAGCTGCAGTAGGTATCATGCCTAGAACTGGTGCTCAAACATGAAGGTGTTCTTAAAGTTGTCAGTTGTAGACGTAAACGTCCAACCGACTGATACTGCTTTCAGCTACGGACCAACGCACCAACCACCCATTTAGTCTCTTTATTTCTCTTTCAACTATATGTTATCCGTCAAGCCTGATCACTTCAAGTCTCCTCTTGTCAGGAACACCGACGATGCTATGTTCAGTATTCGTACACAAGCGCCCCCGTATAGTCTTAGTTTGAAGTGATCACATTAAATCCCCAACTGGCTCATGTTTCATAATTTCACTGTAGGCATAATATATTTTCTGTTTATTGTATGGAAGTAATGGGGGATTTGGTTTGTTTAAATGGTGAATTCGTCGTGTACATGAGGCGTGAGTTGCTTTGAATTCTGACGAAACAATACTAATGAAACCATCCAGTATCCGCTCTCAGGCTGTACAAACAACCAGTATAATGTTCTCAGGCCCAGAATTTCACCGTGTCTCGCTGCTGAGTCCAGGACGAAATGGGACCCAACTCACCTTGAGCAGCAATTCTTTTATCCTTTGATCTTCCGATAGGCTGATCCAACTTTAGTTGGATCCGGGATGCTAAACGAACAATCGTGAGCTGAGCCTTTGGACAGTAAACAGTTGGGTATTATTACGTAGCCAACACCATCCAGCTTTGTGTCGTCCGGTTCAATGCTGCGCTTAACCTAGTGGGGCCTTACGCGGTTCGCTACTCCAAGTCCCGGTGTCTAGGTTACCGGTTTCCATTACTGAACAGCAGGGCCCCGTGGCCTCTTCTATTCATCACACTACAATGTGTTATAAAAAGCTAAGTGAATCGGTGGTTTCCTGATTCATGAACAAATACTTGAACGTATGCCGTTATTTTCCAATCCCTTTGATCTGAACGCTAGTGTCGTGAGGTACTACTCACATTTGTGAGTAACAGACAACATAGTTGGTGCTTTATTTCGCGATCAAAAATGAACAAGATCAGCGAGGGAAAATTGTTGGGTCTTCAAGAATAACTATCGA